CTCTTTTATGTATTTGATAACAAAGAACAGTAAAACATATGCAACATCACATTAGGAAAAATCCTGCAAGTCATTATAATAATAAGGTAAAAATCATTTGATCATTCTTTCACGGTAGCACTAAGTTTTCCAATCAAAATTATGAATACGCCCAAACAGATTCACTATCGGTGCCTCAAATTTAAGTTCACAGAAAAGTAAATTTGATTTAGCTGAACATAAAATCTTCCATGACAAATTTATGAACAAATTGATTTTCTTTAAAATGTACTTGCAAATTTAACAAAAGCATGCATGAAATTTAACATTAAAATCTAAAGCACTAGTATTTAATAACAGTTACATGTATTAAATGAATTTAATCACACTTTTAAGAATGCAATTTTCTGATAAATTTTAATTTTTATACGAAAATAGAATTAATTTTGTAAAGTTACTTAAAACATATTTCCTGTTCACATATTTAAATAAATTTAATGTACGTATACTTAAAAATGCAACATGAAGATCTACTACTAGATAAAGCATGATAATGGGCTCAAAACAATTTGTCGAATGTTTAAATTAATACTTAACGTCTTCAAAATTCCTAAAAAATACAGAATATATCTTACTATAAAGAAAAAACAAAATTATTTATAATTTAGATTACACTATCAAGTTTTTAACACTGGCGCCAACTAACAGAATTGGCGACAATACATTAGAATGAAAATAGAATGCTACTTTAAATTACCAGTCTTACAGTAAAATTAAATAAAAATAAGTCACATCACATTTTTAACCTTTGTGATAACCCAGCACAAAGTTTACATGAAATGTAGGATACAATTTTACAAACAGCATAAACTATGTGCGATAATAAAAGAAACATCACAAACAGTAGACTAGAACTAGAAAAGAAACACGCCAATGTAACAATCAAAATCGTAAAAACAACCTTGTATTTACCGTAAGTATAATGAAACACTCAATCGATTTCGAGGGCAGCTAAAGGTTCCTCCTCATCAGGAGAAAGAAATAACTAGAAAGAAGAAAATAAAGGAGAAGGAGTCTCAGAAACACGTGGTCCTTATCAGCACTGAACGTGGTTATAACTGGATTTTTATTCAGAGTTGCAAAAACATGGCGGAAGGTTTTGCGTCAATTTTAGCTGAAGCGTATTTGGATGAAATCAGTCGAATGTCTCTGCGTCGGCAGCGAGTTTTCCGTGATCGAAGCAATGCGTTCGATTTACATACAATATTGGCGATATTTTTACTGCTATTTACTGATATTGTACTTTCACAAACAGTATTGGCGATATTTTTACTGCACAAACACATGCGCATTCCGCAATTGATTTTGTATTTATAAAATCAGTTGATCGGCAATAAGTGATAGTGAAATAAAAATACACATTCTGAAGAAATACGAAGAGTAATTTTTCTAACATTCTATGGAAAAATACGAAGCTGAACCTACCTCACCAACGACACTGTCCTGGGCCCGGAATTTATAATCTTGACAAATAATTAATTATCCATTGTTTGTATTGTATGTAAATCGAACGCATTTCTTCGATCACGGAAAACTCGCTGCCGACGCAGAGAAATTCGACTGATTTCATCCAAATACGCTTCAGCTAAAATTGACGCAAAACCTTCCGCCATGTTTATTGCCGGAATTATAACCATCTGTTTATTTAACACGAAGGGTCAGACCTGTCCTTACTTTAACACCGTCTCGTCAATTTAACGGTCAAATTTAACGCTAGCTTTGATGAGAATACCAATACTTGCGATTTAACTACTTGTGACGTCAGAGTAGCACGTGATTCCGTAAATCTCACTTAACATTGTGGTTAAAAATGTCATGAATAAGGCCCTAAGTAAGCTTATGAAAGCAATTATCCTCAAAAGAGTACGTGATCATCTGGAAGCAAACAATATAGTGATCCCATAGAATTAGAAATAGATAGTTTGGATTTCGAAAGTCGCTGTCTACATCGAATCAACTTTTTCGTGTTGTGGAACACATCTCTGAAGGAATTCATTACAAGAAGTCTACTGAGGGTTTATTCCTGGACATAGCCAAAACTTTCGACAGTGTCTGGATGGACGCACTAATATACAAAATCCATCTGGTTTTTTTTAGATTACATTGTACCCATAATTAAATCCTACCTAACAGGTAGACACTTAGGGTCCTATTCACGACAAAGAACGTAAATAACGATCTTCTCTTAACGGACGACCGCTAGATTTCACGGCTGTAGTAACAGTAAGGACTGTTGGTTAAATTGGCATTCGTGACAGGAGGGGTCCTTACGGTAAGTAACCTTCGTTCGAGAGTTGGGAAAGTTCGTTAAAATAAGCCAATCATATTACAGCTACTAGAGACACAGGTTGACTCATCAATAGGGCCCTTGAATAGGGCCCTTTGTCTTTCACCTCTCCACTAAATGTCTGGTTTCAGCTGGCATCCCCAGGGGTCGCTACTAGGGCCTACGCTTTTCAATATTTATGTGAACGATATATCCACAATACCCAACACTACACTAACAACGTATCCACAACACTACACTAACAACGTATGCTGACGACGCAGCGATCCTTGCTCAAAATGCATTTCTTAGCCTAGTCAAACATCTTCAAAATCACATGCATACACTAGAGGCCTGGCTACTGAAATGGAAAATTCAGATCAACGTTGAAAAAACAATTGCCATAATCTTCACTAAGAAGAGAAAATTTGAGGAAAACTTGCAGTTTTATGGAACCTCACTACCCTGGGCTAAGCGAGTTACTTATCTTGGGGTGATCCTCACTAATTCTCTCACATGGCCTCCCATATATACACTCTATTATTTAAAAGTTTCAGTTTCGTAAAGCTAAACTGAACCCTTTAATTGCCCGAAACAGCATTGTGTCTATAGATAATAAGTTACTCATTTATAAATTCATTCCGCTTGCTATACTCTGTTACGCTTGTCCTGTGTGGGCGTATTCATGTAAATCTCTACGTAAAAAACTACAAACTGCCCAGAATGTTGTTCTGCGGCAAATTGCAAACGCACCGTACAATATTAGAAATAATGCAATTCATGCGGAACTAGGCATAATTCCACTGAAAAGTTTGGTTGATCTTTACATTATGGTAACTTGGCGATTTTTTGGCGAAAATTTGGCAACCAACTCTCCTACAGCAACCCTCTATTTTTTTTCCCCGCCGCCTTTTTGTCTTCACGAAGTAAAGACATGTTTCTTTTCTTTTTATCTACTGAACACTTCTTCCAACAATCTAAGTAGCCGAATTACACTTTGTGAGAAATTTTATCAAACAAAACTGCGTAAATGACAAATATTCACTGCAAAATTGGGAAAAAGTGCACATACCATACCCTTACGCGTTTTTCAAAATAACACATACACATAAACCATGTACACGGCGACTTATTTTTACTTAAAAAAACATCCCAGAATTGCACAAAAATGGCATTGCGCACACTTCACTATATCCATGTACACTGCTTTTTCTCATAAATTTAGAAAAAATTTCACGAAAATAACATGACAATTTTCTCAATCTTTAAACCCGGTTAAAAAAGATATGATACTTACATTCGCGAAAAAGTATTTACCTTTACAAATATGAAACATTCCATATAAAAATAAATTAAAATATCCAAAAACTTTTACCTCTAAATCATCTATTACATTATACACGTCACCAACGAATTCGTACCGCAAAGCATTACAAATACTTAGTCTCATATTTAAATTATTTCCATGCACGTTTATTTCAACTAACGTATACCAAATTCTACAACATAAAATTCACAAAATAACTACCTTCATTAAATTAATTAAATTCAAAAACACTACTTAAAATATAAATGAGCACATACATTAAATTAATAAAAATACCTTACAATCCTAATACTTTAATAATCATTGCTAATAACAATTTTCCCATAATACCAAATTCCTTTCCACCTTACATTTAGAACAATGCTAAAAATAATATCCTCAAATAATAAAATACAACTTACCTAATCTTCTTCAGAATTCATTACGTGGCCGATACTTTCTTCATTCATAAAATTTGAAGATTTTTTCTCGCAAATTGTTTTCCTCCATACTTCTCCGCCTAAATAAAAAGCAAACTATCCTTTTCAACAATGCTAAATACCGATTTCGAATTTACTTTAGTTAGGGCCATGGATCCAAAAATTAAACAACACTGTTCCACACAACCAGAATAATACAAATTTCCACATTTTTTCCCGATTTCCCCTTTTCCGATTAAAGAACCGTAATTCGTCCATTAATACATGACTATCCCATGATCTTCATTTCCCTCACGCAAAATAATACGTAATCGGAACTGAGTACTGCTCACATTATTACCAAAGTCCCAGGTAGTAACCTTTATCGCCTCCAAAATATCGCCAAACTACCAGTTACCATATTGTAAAGATCAACCAAAAGTTTTTATTACCACCTGGGAAGACAATTTGTGTATTCGTTTACGTACTGTAAGTAACTCGAACTTAGAATTTATAATTGCGATTATGAGAACGGTACTAATAATAAAAGGCCAACGTTCAGTTTCAATCCAAATGCAATCATGGAAGTATATTTTTTATATTTACTTTGTCACGTTCGGTGTTCTTTTGTTTTTATTTATGCATATTTATATTTATATCTTGTGTGTATTGTATGTATTTATTCACCACTTGATATCTATTGATTCAAAATTACCTTGATAATATACATTCAGTTAGACAGTTTTAAGGCTTAAATTTATAGGGCGTGAATCTCTTCAAAATTTAAATTAAAAAAAAATGCTCTATCTCAAATAAGGTACTTTCTAAAATATTTCGAAGCTTTCAACTATGTTCGTTTTGGGGTAAACCGTCAGTCTAGGCACCCACAGCGTTTCGCAAGACTGCACACCGTTTTCACTGAGCGGATAGAAAGACGTAGTGGGTGCAGAATAAGCCATCTGTCTAATTTGTCTGTCTGTCTAGAAAGCAGCGGCGTAAAGCTCGCAAATTTGTATCGCTCTCTTGCCTAGTGAAAATTGATGCTTACCATATAAGACATTTAAAGTTTTTCATGTTTGATGCGCAGTAGTTTGTTAATAGTACAGCTGAATGTGTAATGAATAGAAAATTTCTGTATCGTCTTATAAATTTCCTAATTTAATTATGGCAGAAAATTTGGTTAAAAGACCTGCCAAAGGTATTCTCAAAAATTCCACTAGCTTCGATAATGCTGAAGGAAATAAAAAGTAAGTCTTATGAAATCACAGCTAACTACTTTTATTACTTGATCTGCAAAGGAATGCAAAATTTATTAACTTGTCAATGTTTAAAATTATTTCTGTTTTTAAAATCAAACATAGATCTTTTCGGAATTGTTACTTTAAAAATTGTTATAACTGTAATAACATTGAGTTTATGGTTTACTTTGTTAAATATGTGTAAAAGTGAAACGAAATATTCTGTTAGGTTATCATTGTTATTGTTTTTGCATTAATGTATCAATTACGGAGTTGGTATTTATCGCGTTAACTCTATGAAAACTTTGTCATAGCAGTTTCTGCTTGATGTAAAATTTAAGAAATTCGTAGTATGTAATTATATTAGATATATAGGATTATATATTATGCTTTCTTTCTGTTTTAATTTGTGTGTGCTTTTAGTAAACCTTTAAGTGTTTATAACATTTGTATTTGCGAGTAAATATTCAAGAAATCATGTCAGAAAAGAAATTATGCCTAACCCATTGATAATATCTGTAAATGGAAGCTTTATTAACTAACGGATTATCAATTAGTATAAAACAGTGCTACTGCTTTGTTGTAAAAGGGCAACCACATAAACCTTGGCTATATTTAAAATTTGCACATTACTGATTGAGTAATTGAATTTGCCAGTTCTGATGACTCAATATGATAGCTGTTTTAGCTGGCAAGTATCGTAAAAGTTGCCAGTTCATGCACCTTAATATTTAAAAATAAGGAGCATTGCTAACTCGCTGCCATAATCTTCAGTGTCATGCAATTTTAAGTTGAAATTACTCAATTCGTGTTTCATCATCCATATAAGCAAGAGTAAAAGTAAAATTCGAAACCAAAGTAAAATTTAAAATCAAATGTTATGAATTAAAAAAAAATTTTTTTTAAAACAGTGGAATTTTGAGAAAAGAGCTAGTAAATGACTAGAGTTAAAATTAGTTAAAAGTCAATTAAGAGTAGAAAACCAAAAAAACTCTTGCCTACAGAAAACTTCCCCTACTTGAATTATTCATGAAAACTTAAAATAAACTATATACAACAATTAAAATATAAAAATAAAAATCTTAAAACACATACACATAAATATGTACACTGTGCCAAAAAAAAAAAGGGGGACAGCTTTATATCTCCTGTTTTACTAGGCCGATTGACTAAATTCAACTTATGTTTTTCATGTTTTGAAAGCATGACTTAGGATATGTATTAGATTTATATATAGCATTTTTCTAATATAGTTATTTTTACACAAAATTGGACTTTCTCTGAAATGGCATGTCATTTTTTTCCCCATATTTCAATTCTATAGCTAAAATTCTGGCAAACTGCCAAGTTTTATAAAAATCACACAAGTAGTTTTTACAAAATTAGCTCTCAAAATTTTAGCTCTCAGTGTTAATTGAATTTGATATATCTTTATTAATATTTTTTTTTTATTAAACTTACTTGATTCCTTCTTCCAGAATTTGAAATTTAGTTCATTCCAAATAAAATTCAACATTTTTTATGATTTATTTTTTAAATTGTATTTTAAAATAATTTTTATAAATTTTTTAAAGAAATTTTGAATTAAAACCTATACAATTTTTACCATCATCTTAAAGTAGATGTATTTCTAAGTATACCTGCAATAAATTAGAGTTTTTTTTATTCAAAATTTCTTAGGATATAAGTGAATTTATATATTAGCACATTTTCAAATTTGGCATATTTGTTATAAGCAATAATAATGCCAAATGTGATTTAGGCACTTTGTTAAAATAATTTGAAATAATAAACAGTGACTTTTTTTCTGCTCATTTACAATGAAAAAAAGAAAAGGAAAATAGCTTGCTATAAATTAAGAAGTTTGCCAAGTGAATTATTCTTGGTGCAAACTAAAAAGAATATGCCAAGATAAATTTCTCCATAAATTTCGCACCAAATTTTACAAAATTTAATATTTACATAATTTGAGTAATAGAATCGAAATATGAAAAAAATTGGCAATTCATTTCAGAAAAGTCCAATTTTGTGTCAAAATACTTATAAAGAACAGTGCTATATATAAATCTAATATGCAGGGTGATTCTGTGATCATGGGACAAACTTGCAAGGGTGTTTGAGCATACTAAATCGTGTATTTTTTGTATAGGAATGTAGGGTCTAAAGTGACCACATGTCCCTGTTTTTGGAGGACTGTCCCGCGTCCCGCCGATTTTTAAAAATGTCCCGCGTTTTAGAAAACATCTGCATTTCTTGGTTTTAAATGTATTTGTAAAAATATATTACCTATTATTTATTAATTATTATAGTGAATGTAAAGAAATAAAAAAACTTTCGATCATTGTCGTTACGTCTCGTCAAAGAACATGTATTGTCAACGGAGGAGCAGTTAGCAATAGCTGAAGGGCTATTTGCTTTCCACACCATAAACCACAATCAAAGTTTTGGATCAACTGAATGTACGTCGCAAATGATCAAAATATTGTACAACAAAAAATTTACATGTGCAAGGACAAAAGCTGAAGCGATTATTTGTAATATTTTCACCATATTCGTTTTGACAATTGCCGAAAGAATTAGATTAAATGCATATTTATATATCCATGTATTATGATGCTTCCAACCATAAAGATTTAAAATTATTTCCCACAGTTGTTAGACTTTTTGATCCAGAAACAGGAATTAAAATTAGAATATTAGATTTTGTTTCATTGCCCGTGAAACTTCATAAATAATTTTTGATTCAATAAGTACTATTTTAAAAGAATAATTTGAATAATAAAATTATTGCCTATTGTGAGGATAACACTAATGCAAATTTTGGTGGAAAAGCTAGAAGAGGCTTCAATAATGTTTTTACGAAACTTAACAAACATTTGAACCAAAATATTATTGGAGTAGGTTGTGCAGCACACATTCTACACAATACTATTCAAACAACATTTGACTTACTTCCAGTCAATGTTGAAAAATTGAATGTAAAGGAATTATTGGTTACGGCAAAACACGATGGCTAGCTCTTTGACTAGCTGTAGAAAATATTTTTAAAATATATGAATCATTAAAATCATACCTTTTGTCACAAGATAAATGTCCAAGAATATTGCAGCTCTTTTTTGAAAATGACACATCACAAATTTGGCTTCGGTACATCCACAGCCAACCTGCATTATTTCACAATGTTTTGAAAATTATTGAAGGGCACAAAATTTCAATTACGGAAGTGTCGAATGAAATCAATAATTTAAAAACAAAATTGTGAGAAAGAATTGATAACGATTACATTCCTTAAGTTATTCGAAAGGACATCACTAGGTTGGAAGAACAAAGTGCAATTAAACAACCTGATTTTCTAAAAGAAGTCAGAAATTTTTATAACTACTTGGAATGAATATATTGAAGAATGGAACGTTCAGTTCGAGTATATTAAAAATTTTCCTTGGGCGACTTTAAAAAGGAGATTTTATGGGAATATGTGGAAAAATCTTTTTAATATATTAGTAACCATTTTCTAAAAAATAATATTTGCAAAAACGATCTTTTTGGGAGGTTGTCATTGGTAAAAAGATGTTTACTGATTAAAAAAATTAAATGTTGGTTGTCTGCAAATGTGGAAAAGGACAAAAAATGGACAAAGTTACTGCTTCATTTTAAACAGAATAATATTCCCTATGAAAATATTTTGGAAACTCTAGAACACGTGCTTTCCCTTCCAGGAACAAGTGCAGCAACAGAATGTGTTTTTCCTAGCATCAATAAAATATGGACAATTGAAGAAAACATTAATTGAACGTTAAAAATTTTAAAATCTATATTAAGTGTAAATTATAATTTGACCAATTCATGTGAGAAATTCGCGACTTTTAAATAAATGATCCAAATCTATTGCAAAGTATTCTCGGATAAAATGTGATCAGAAAGAAAATCATAATTTTTTAATAAAAATTTTAAATAATAAAAAACATATATTCAAATCATAGTTTTTTACAATATTTTTTAATTACCAATATTTAATAATAAATATACTTTCGTATATTTATAGACAAGTGTATGAATGTATACAATATATATTTTTTGAATTATTGGTCTGCTTTCATAACTACAATTCTCATTTCATTCCATTTGTCCCGTTTTTCAATGTGGTCACTTTAGTGTAAAGTGACATGTTAAGGCACAGGCGCAAAAAATGACACGGGAGGAAAAATTAATTTATTTACAAAATCAATGCAAAGCTCTGCTTTGTAGTAATACAGTATTCATAAGAAATGTTCAAAAGCATGACCACTAATGCTTAATCTTTGGATTATGGTAACTTGGCGATTTTTGGCGAAAATTTGGCGACTAACCCTGCTACAGCAACCTGCTAGTTTTTGTTTGAATGCCATTTTGTTTTCACGAAGTAAAGGCTTTTTTTTTTACTCAACATTTTTTTCCAACAATCTGCTAGCCAAATTACGCTTATGCTAGAACTTTTATGGAACAAAAGTGCTTAATCATGACAAATATTAGGTGCGAAATTGGGAGAAAGTGCAGAATCACAAACTGCTTGCCGTTTTTTTAAGAATTGCACATACACGGTATCCATGCACATGTCGACCTATTTTCACTTAAAAAAACATTCCAGAATTGCACAAAAAATGGCATTGCGCACACTCTTGACTTTATCCATGTACACTACTAAAGTCCTAGCTAGTAATCTTTATCGCTTTACCAAAATGTCGCCAAACTACCTGTTACCATATTCCAAAGATTAGCCCCACTAACAATACGAATTACAGCTGTGACTGGCTGGTAATGCAGTGGGTAGAGGGCGGTGATCTGAGCGGTAGTGAGCTGAGCAAATCGCAATCTGATGCATCAACGTAAAAATTATGTCATTCACAATTGTGATTTCGAGCGTGATGGTTGAGTTTATGCATAGTGAAAAGGCTGACAAGCATCTAATGTATAGCTCAGCTAATGGGGATGGCAGAGTAGCACTATGGTTTTACCAGGAACAGTTTCCGAACAGGCGTATGCTGAAGCATACAATGTTCGAGAGGTTGCATCGGTCCCTTTATCGGAACGGGTCATTTGCCACCAACTCTGACAGTAGGAGTAGAAAAAGAACTGTACGACAACCTCGCATGGAAGAATCCATCTTGAACGTTGTGGATGAAACACCCCACACAAGTACAAGAACTATTGCACGTTATCTGCATGCGAGTCAGTCAACCATTTGGAGATTATTGCATGAAAATCGTTTGCCTCCGTGTTATCTGCAGAGAGTCTAAGCGATGTGACAGATTATGCTCTATGAGTTGATTTTTGTCGTTGGATCTTGCAGCAGAGTGCCATGCAGGCGAATTTCCAATCAAATGTGCTATTCATGGACGAATCAACTTTCACACAGGAAGGCATCTTCAGTATGCACAACAGTCACATATAGGCAACTAATAATCCACATGCATTATAATCCGCTTCTCTGTGAATGTGCGGGCGGGTATTGTTAACTAGTACCTCACAGGCCATTACCTTCTACCTGCATGTCTCAATGGTTCACATTATTGTATTTTTCTGCGAGAGGTTTTACTGGAATTGTTTCAGGATGTTCCAACTGTCGTTCATGATCACATGTGGTTCTAGCATGATGGTGTGCCAGCCCATTATAACCTGGTGGTTTGGAATTACTTGGATGCGAATGGATGTGAATGCCCTTTTTTGCCTTGCGTCCTCTGGTGGAGCGAGTAGTAGCAGATCCAACTAGTAAACTGAAAGATCTATGATTCGAATTTCAGTCTTTAAGAGAGGAGAATATATGGAATTAACAGCACGTCCAGCTGAATAAGTTTGAAAATTCATGATTGTGTTCAAGGCCTCATCAATGGCCAAACAGTTAAGTCCTCTGAATACTGATAGTTCGGCCCGGTTTGAGTTCGATATCAGGTGAACGGGATGACTACATTGTTCGTTTTCGTGGTTTTCCTAATGTGTATTACGCTAGCTTTCTTCAGAATATCCTCCACGAATGCATCCCTCCTCTTAGGTAGATAGTCTACATAGCTTTCCCGTATTTCAAAAACCGAAGCGACCATGGCTATGATCCTGCTGAGTGCGTTGTTAAGTTTACCTGTTTCATGGCTTTAAGCACGTAATGGATTCTATATATTATTATTATCAATGAATTTCTCCCAGGAAGTTATCCAAAAATATATTAATAGCACAGATTTTTTGAGGATATTTTTTTCTCTGAGAAAAGTCTCAGTTAAAAGACAGATTTCGAATTTTAAATTTTTATCATATTCGGTTAGTAAATTAATTGATATAATGTTATTAATGTTACTACTTAGTTTTCTATGCTTTCGTTGGAAACCCTTTTAGGACATATAACAGAGAAAATTATTTTTGTTCTTTTTTTAAGTTCTTCTATGCATTATAATGTTAACAAATAAAGCAATATTTGCATTATTGCTGCCTTACAGTACTATATATACATAAATAAGGACTATAACACAGCAACAATGATTAAATGCCTTCTTCCGTAACAAACCCCAATTAAACTACTAACTAAAAACAGCAATGAAATTTCCCAAAATGTAACTTTTCTAGTATGTTTTAAGTAAGCTATAATATATTTTGGAAGAGGCTAGTCATAAATTATGTGAAGGAAGTTCCAGTTTCGTTTTACAAACTTTCGTATAATGTATCAATTCATTTAAACCAGTAATTAAAACTAATATTGTTTCAATTAAAAATAATGAATGGAAGCATTCACAATGCTCGAAACACAACATTTAAAACAGTACAAGACTTTGATAGGAGGAAGCAACTGATGGAAAGCATGTGTTCAAATTATCACATCTGCCATTTATGTTGTGAGAAAAGGTACATCTTTTGTATGCGTATGTTTAAAAACTTGTTTTTCCATTCCGTAAGTAAAGCAGTTCCCCAGGGGTGTAATTACTCTTTTGCGACAAATCTGAATTGCTGCAGTTCTTCAAAACCACGAACTGAATGTACCAAAGATGACTTTGCTGAATGATCAAAGCCATCTGTTATCGTGAACCATTTTAAGCTTTCCTTTAGAAATACTGAAGGTTACAAGTACAGGTTTTTTTATACATCTACAGCTATTCTTTTTTAATCACTGTCATTTAACATAAATGTAAAATCAATCAATATTTAGTCATTCCTTCGCCATAGCATGTCAAAAAAAAAAAAAAAAAAAAAAAAAAAAAAAAAAAATCACTTAAGTCAATGGTTGAAGTTGCTATGTGTATTTCTTTAATTTAAGCTATGGAAGTTAAAACAACGGCGATCATCTCATATGTTAAAACAAGTTATGGTAAAATACTTGATCTCTAATACATGAGATTAAATTTAAAAAGTCGGGTTTTGTCTAAAATAATGATGGTTTCAAAATCTTTTCCATAATATGTGATGATTTTCTCTAGAAGGACAAGCTTTTTGTACTGCTTAGACCTATGAATCTTGGACATAAGGCTCAGATTTTATGATCAGTTCTCGCTGACTAAATAATGTAATACTTTGATAAAGAAATTAAAATAAGGTTAGCTTTTATTATTTCGGTAATTCTAAATATTTTTAAAATTGGACTAATCCAAGTTTTATTCAAAATCATCTAATGATTCGAAAAGGTTCTTCAGATTGCTGACGAAGTTATTTAAAAGGAAACTGTATTTGACATGTTAATCAAGTTTCAACTGTCTAGAAAACATTCAATCTAAAGACATACTATTTTAGAAGAAATTTATATGCATTTTAAATAAATAATGTAGATCATTCTTCTTTATTATGTGTCATTTGCCAATGACAACTTCACCATTCGCCAACAATGTATAACCAAAAGCAGTAAACTAAACAAACATAAAAAACTTTCGTGCTTCTTTTCTTATTACTATTTCGTTTTTATTATTTTTTTTCTATTCAAATTTGTAACTCCTAGAAAAGTTGCGGGTTACATTTCGGAAACTCGGATGTTACGCTGTAGGTTATTTGATTAATTTATGTAACAAAGTACGGAAATTTTAACTTGACTCTTCGTTGCTGCTTACAGTTACATTGCGTTGAGCAAACCAATATATGCTATGTAAAGCATGAGCACACAAGAAAATCAAAAAGAATAATTAATTCACCATTATTATATTTATTATTAAATTAGTTTGTGTTTTATAAACCCATATCAAGAATATGCTTATTATAACTTATTAAAATAGACTTGATTTTCTTATTTTTATCTGACTTATTGCTTAAGTATTTTTATTCTTTATATGCAATTGCATGAAATTCAGGTTAACTGAATGCAGTACCATTCGATTCGCACAAATTAATTGAAAGTTTTTAACTAGCAGGTTTTATGCATATACATAATCATAAGTAAATTTATTTAAATAATGCAAATATTTTGAAATGCTATTTTTTAATTGAATTCAAAAACATTTTGCATATTTCTGAACATTTAGTTTGAAATCTGAAGGATATTTTATGAAAATGTTATCTGTTTAAAGATAGTATTGGAAAATTTTTACATGCTCTTTATTTAGCGAAGAATGTTCGTGTCAGTTTTTCGTATGTCTAAACACTTTCTTGGCAATAAAACGTAGCGGTCTAAAACAAAGAAGAGCAACCCTCTTAGAGTCCTATTGAGAGTTGTCATTTAGAGATCTCCAGGGTTCCAGAAATAAGGGGGGCACTGAGGCATCTCCATGGCCGCTTTAAGGCGCTCGCAATGCTTTCGATATCATTGCCACTGACCTCCTAAAACTGTCAATAACACTTTCGAACACATTTCCCTATACAAAAAATATTTGTTTTAGTATGCTTAACCACCCTTCCAAGTTTGTCCCGTGATCTTAGAATCACCCTGTATGTCCTAAGTTTCGAGACATGAAAACTGCAATTTGAATTTCGTCAATCGGCCGGTAGAATGGGTGATATGGAACTGTCATATATTTTTTTTTTGGTTGTTGTGCAGTGTACATATATACATGCATATATGAACATATACATACATACATTTCTGAATCCGGTCCCGATAACTGAAGAGTGCTTAATTTTGTTTTGTTGAATGTTTATCATTCATGTATCTTATCAAATGTATCGCCATTTAGAAATTCTATAATTTAAAACAGTAATTAATGTTAGCTTGAAGTTGTACTTCCATTTTAATAATATGGTGAAAGTTGCTGAATAAGTAAAAAATTACGTGAATAAATTCTTTTCAGTAATGCTTTGGACATTAAATGGGATGAAATGAATATTCTACAGACTCTGCATCCTCCTGATAAAGATTACGGTCATATGAAAATAGATGAACCTAAAACACCATACAGTTATTATGAAGATAAAAGTGGGAAAGAAGTATCAGATCACCCAGAAGATACTTTAGATGCAGACTTATTGGCAAAAAAGTAATTTTTGCTCTGTATTAATTTTTATTGTAAAGTTGTTTTGCTTTTCTCTCTCTGTATATATACATACATAAAATATGAAAGAAAACTACTAATTTTGGTTAGGGTAGCATGACCTTGGATTATTGCTAAGTTGTTGTTTCATTTATCGCCAAGTATGTTGTTATTTTGTGGTTTACATGGTAAAATGGCTGAATGTTGTAAGATTAATTTGAAGTTTCTGTACTATTTGGAACGAAAGGAAAAAAAAGCATCAATTGACTGGTGTGTAAATGAAGGTTTACTTAGCAGCCATTATAAGTGTCCTGTTTGTAGGAAGGAAATGCGTATGGTCAATCGTCGGAGGATACCTGCACTATGGAGGATATTTTTTACTCTTATTTTTGTAAATTTATGTGCCGACACCATTATACAGATTGTAGTTCAGATAATTTTAGGAAGTTTCTGAATGCTGTTAAGGAATTCTGTTTGACTGAAGATGGGAAAATTTGTAAATAAGGTTTCCTTTGTGTAGTGCTAAGATGAATTTCTTTTTTTTTTTTAATGTTATTTCATTGTTTGATTTAAATGTAGTTTATTGAGATATATTTAAGATATATTTTTATTGGCTACTCTTGTGACTTTTTAAGTGAATATAGATCGATATGTTCATGGACAATATCAAGGGATGTGCAATGCCTAGTGTGTGCAATTCTCTGATTTTTTTTTAAAGTGAAAATAGGTTGATGTGTACATAGATAGAGTTTGTACCATCCTTTGATTTGTTATTTTGGATTTGTGTAGCACCGATTTTTGAAAAAAAAAAAAAAAATCGCTGCTACGCAAAGCCAAAATAACAAGTCAAAAGATTGCACAAACTCGCTGTCCGTGCACCACCAAAAATCGCCAGTTATCGCCAAGGGGCACCCATAAATATATTCACCCTAATTTTTTATTTAGCAATTGACCTTTCCCTTTTAATTTATTCAGAAAGTGGGTCATTTCTGGTGAGGTCACTGCAGGAAAAGAATGCATTGGCTCAGTAATGAGGAACTGGCAGATGTGCATTATGTTTATGGGGCCATAGTTGGAAATGGACGATTTCCAATGTACGGAGAGCTCGTCCCAAACAGACATCTACCAAGCATCCATTATTTGGATAATTGAATCACATATTAAGTGAGGCTGGAGTTTTTCGAGTAAAAAACCACATTGATCAATGTACTATATGCACACCTGTTGTAAAGGAAACTGTATTATGGAAAATGCAGAGGAACCTTGGAAAAAGTATAAAAGCAATTGAACACAATTTCTGTGTACCTTGCTCCTACATTATGCATGTATTTGTCCGAGAGCGCATTACACTCCTACTGCTGAACCGATGTATCATCCTCCTGCAGCATCCTTGCCTGAAATGATTCAGCTTTCCACTTTCCAGTATATCTAGGAACATAGCTATCTGTCGGTGGCTGCTCATAGTTTTGGGCACAATTTCCTACGTAAAATTTGTTTGTTATGGTCTGATAGACCATCATGTAAAACTCGTGAACCACCTTTAGGGTATGATCTGAGAAAACTAGCTAATTGGTAGTTTATGATGTTAAAAAAAGGCTTTCTTTTAGAATTGTAAGTTATTAACTTAACAACTTCAGTGTGCTATTGGTATCTGTTTTAAGACATGAAAAAGTTGTGCTGTGATCGAGGCTTGTTCAGCCAATGACTGGTTCGGTATTTTCTGCTTTTGAGTGAAATCATAATTTCAGCCATAGTAGAACTTTAAATGAGACAAATTCTGTTGTACATCAGAATTGCAGTATTAATAGAAAATATCAATACTACATTTTTTTTAGCAGTAGTAAAACTGATTAGTACTGGGTATAGAATAAATGACTGAAATTTCCTGAGAGGAGCAAAATACATTGAAAAACTTATGTCTAAGGGCAAATAATACCAATAAACATAATTACTTTTATTTTATCATCTCTTTGGACTGTTAATACTTAGTGATTAGCAGAGGTTGATTGCTGGTCTAAATTACAGGGTGAGGTATATCCCGTGTAAAGCTTTGCTATTTATGTGTCATTCCACCTTTCCATGAATGTTAATAGACCATTTCTAGTGATGTATCCAGGGTTGGATTAACCATAAAGCAGTATTAGCATGTGTGTAAGGCATCAAGGAAAGATGGCACCACATGAAGGTTCTTAAGTATTTAGGAAAGGGCATAGTCGTTAGGCCTTATTTAGTCCTTAGGTACCAAAAAATTTCACAAAGCTGGTTTTGCCGTAGAATGCATGCATGGTGCAGCTAAACCAAAACTGAGAGAGAAAAGGTATGAAGAAAAAACTGATTTAAGCACATGTGGGATATCAAAATTTTTTAAGTTCTTAGTATCCGTAAAAGTCTTACCTTGGCCTTGGGTGTATGCTGTACAGTGTTCTACATGATGAGATGGCTAAATGATGGATTAAGTTATTTCTGATAGAATGTGTGAAAAGTAAGTATCTGACCATTTGGGGTGGGGGAATGTAGCTTTGATCCTCTGTATTGTGTCTTGTTATTATGAAGTATCTTGGTCATTCATTTGTTTAGTTATTTCATGTAATTTTGTTTTTAATAAATTTATTATCTTTTTATTTAATTTTCGTCATGTTTTAATTCATTACTTGCTTATTTATTAATATTTTATCTCTTTATATTTTATTTAATTATTCATTATTTATTGTTTTATCTGTTATTTTATTTATTTATTTTTGTTCTTGTTCGTGATGATATTTTACAGAGCTCGAGCCTTTCTAATTTTAGAAATGAAACCCTGACTGTAATATTAGAAAAAGTTTAGAGCATTTCACATGCAAACAATAAAGAATAAATCTCCAGTAAAATAAGCAAATGATCGTATGAAATGCAAAAATAAGAGCAATGAAATATTAAATCGATTGATAAATTATATACAGTCAAAAGTCGTTAATTCGGACACCCATAATCCGGACGTCAAAGCTAAAAACTTTCTGCGCATGCGCCTCATTGACACATGAGCATAGGCGTTTACACGTGCACGTAAGACCTTTACGACTGCGCATATGCGTGCACGCAAGCACAGAATACGTTTTCGCGTGCACGTTTTATGTATAACGGACGGTATAAGCTAAAATTATCTAATTATTATTTCAATTAATGTTGATGATTGCGTTCTTCCTTAATCTTCGAATTGGATGCGGCTTATTATTTTTTGTAGACTGTAAGAGCAATTTTATAAAAGTAAACTTGAACTTTCGATTATGTCAAATAGAATTTCCGATGCTGGAGCTCCCAAAGGATCTACAAAATGAAAGTATGTTTCGATGTCCATCAAACAAAAAGTGGAATTGCTGTAAAAAATGGATAAAGACATGAAGAAGGTGACAGAGAGGTTAGCGAAAACGAAAAAATTTCGATTGACAAGTTAGTCGGTATTCTCGGCACAGCAATTACGGGACTTGAACAGCGGAACTTTGTAACTGAACAAGAAATTATGTCTGTTTATAGAATTAAAGAGAAAGTATTATCACATAAAACGAAGCAACTTAAACAACTTACATTGAACGAAATGTTTAATAAAGTAAACAAATAAATAGTAAGCTTTTTTTTTTTTTTTTTTTTTTGTAAATTTGATACCCTTTAGATCATAATTGTTCTTTATTTCATAAATTATGGTTTCATAATTTTTAATTTTAGAATTTCTGCATGCCATCTTACGAGATTTAAACTGATGATCTATAATCCGGAATCGCCGAAGTCCCGACGAGTCCGGATTAATGACTTTTGACTGTACATGCTTTCATTCAACAAGAGCTATTTGGGGGTCTCAGTAGTCAGTCTGCCGATTTCACAAATAGATACAATTACATGAAACAGATAAAGTAAAAATAGAAAATGTAAGCACAAGTTAGCATGGATTTTTTTTTTAATTGCTTAGAATGATTTTATAAATCTCGATTAAAAAATCATATAATTACTATATAAAGAAAATAATGGATTTCTGTATATATTTCTATCAGAATTGTCATAAAAAGCTAATATCCAAGCAAAACAAAAGTTTTTTTCTTTCCCAAACAGAATATGTTCAAAATTCTAAATTGTGAAATTAAAAGCTTTCTGAGTGCAGAGAAATTTTCTTCTTCTAATTTCAGTTTTCCCAAAATTTTATTGACATATTTAACATTAGTCCTACGAATTATTTGAATTGAATTGTTCCCCCATTTTTGTTTTGAGATTGAAGTTAAACTTTACATAAATTTACATCACGTTTAAGTGCGAGCAGTATTCATAAAATGCTTAATGAAATTTACTTAGGTCAGCTAATTTGCTATGACCTAAGACACAATATGAGGGTACTTGCATATTATCATATTGACCGTGAAGCCAATGCCAAGCTGCAGGATTTAGCACCACTTATGGATAAATGTGACGTAACAAACACTCATGACATCTGTGCTTTCATTTGATATAACCCAGATTGATTCTTGATGAGCCACATATTGATTTTATGAACTGGGACATAAATTTGCTGTTATTGATGTATTTTTTTGTGGCTCGGGGGGGGGGAGATTAAAATTTGAGATCTACCTTTTACAGAGCAGCAAGCAGTTGATTATTTTCGAAGTTATGGGATCCTGCCATTAAAAAGGTATCAATATGGCTGATAAAACAGTAACAGACTGAAGCAATTACCTGTATGAATTTTGTACGAAAGCATTTCAAGTAGGTCTTCCATTAAAATCAGAGGAAATACAAACAAATTTAACTGTTTGCTTAACTAAATCCATTTAACAAAATGTAGGACCTGACGAAAACCTCTTTACAAAGCTAAGAAACAAAGCGGGTTGAATACTGATAGTTTATTAAATAAGGAGGCGTCAGTTCCTTCAGTATTCTGCAGGAACAGTTGCTGCAGTTTGGCCAGTTTTCATGGTGATGGTGGGAGCTGTGCCACCTTTCCTTGTTCGATGATAGCCGCATTTCATGGTCAACAGGATAGTATGTAAGTACCATTATCAGTATGCAGGTGTATGTTCAGAGTTTTCTAAACTTCATTGTGTGTTAATTTTAAAATTCCAGGATTAATCTGTGCTCTGAAAAAAATGAAAAGCCTGTTGTATTGGAGTCTCCTGAAGAAGATAATGAAGAGGATGAAGAGGAAACAGAAGAAGAAAGAGGTAATTTTAATTTATTTTATTACGAATCAAATGCAATTTACATTTGAATTTATTAATGAATTTTTTGTTTTAGAATGAGTGATATATGCATACATATAATGTAATGAATATCATATAAAAAGCCATTATTAATACATGTATATATGAGATGTAGCATCTTTGGAAAATTGCTTGTGTCATTTGGTACAGTAATTGTTTACCGCTTTTGCAATTTTGTATTTTTTAATATTAATATTTTCTGATTTCTGGATGCTGAATATGATGTCTGAATTTGCTTTTATTATGGTTTGATTTTAATTATTTATATATATATGTATGTATGCAAAGCAAAAACTAACCTGTAGTTCTAGGAGATTTGATCTTTTTTTAAAGTTATTGCCTTAAGGAACATGACAATTGGTTATTATATTTACTAGTACTTACTAAACCAAGAACACATTCGAAAAGAGAACGATGGGTACTTTTCCTGTTAAACATTTGCCAAATGTGCACCGGAGCACTTAATGTGATGTTGCATCATAAATAGCTGTGCAGTGATAATATATATATATATTGTTAATGTATGCACTGCTAAACTGTGAGCAATGATTAATTTTGTTTTCTACTTTAATGTTTTTTAAGTAAAAACAAAAATAAAGTATCATGGAAAGAATACCTATTTTATATTAATTGAATATAATATATATTATGTTTATTGTGTGCGATACTGAGATTGTGCTTAGAAAGCAGAGATCTGTTTTTGCTTAAAAAAATTCATGCGATTCGCAAATTTGTTCTTCCCGTGTACACAGTGATTTTTTTTTCTTTTAAAAGAATCTGAAAATTGGACAAATTTGGCTTGTGCACAGTCTTGTCGCTGCACTTATTCAACATTGTATGTATATTATATTCTTTGAATATAAAATAGTTACTCTTTTCATGAAGCTTTGTATATCATTAGGCTTGCTGCCATATAATTAGATTTTGCACCAAGGTTTATGTTTAGTGGTAAGTGGAAAGTACCGAACCATGTTTTTATTTATACAGTGTAAAGTTCGAAATCTTGATGTCCAATATCCAGACCTACAGACCACAAATCCATTAAAAGAGTAAGATTGTTTTTCCTCTTATAAACTATTGGGATATAAAATATAATACTCAAAAAGGCTTAACTGAGATTCCTGTGTGTCACCTTCAAACGCTGGCTGTACCAAATAACATTATGGCTAGTAACTGTATATTAATCAGCATTGTTTTGTTAGTGGCTACAATCGCACTTTCAGTCCTTAAGTGGTTGTGGGATCATATACTGTTTTCTATCTGACATAAAACTCCAAGATGTATTTGATTGGAGTGGAATATTCCCTGTATTGGGTTTCTTCTGCTGGCATACCAAGGAGGATGGGAGAAAGATTATGAGGAAATTGAGTATAGAAAAACACAGAAAATTGTGCTTTTCCTTAACTTTTTAATTTGATTCACTTTAGTATATTTTTCAGGCTACTATTATTATTTTATCCTATCAAAATTAAAAATTCATTTTTCAGCTATGCCAAAAAAGAGTTTCTAATTGTGGAGCTGCAGCAGGATTGGCAAAGCAAAAGCATGTTTTGGTGTTAACTAAGTAAAAAGTAGAATTGCTACAAAAATAATATCCATCTCAAAATTATGCAAGGAATATTGGGAAAATCAAAGTATATATCCTCCCCCACCACACACACTCCCCCCAAAACAGAGCTAATTGAATTTTTTGTGCTTTCTGATGTTCATATGTTATGTTAAAAGTGGTAATCATGACAAGGTGATTATTGAATAGGTGAGACACTGTCATAGCAAAAGTGTGCCATTGAAAAGTCCAATACTGATGGCTGAAGTTAAAAGTGTTCCAAGACGAAATGAACTTAAAAAACTGAGCACTGATATCTGACAGGTTGGTTAACGAAATTTAAAGATCTCCATAGTATAAAGCAGTTAAAAATTTTAGATAAAAATTCTTCATTTCATAATTCATGAAAGTCATTTATAGTGAAAAGTTATCTCCAGAACAAATTTATAATGCTTATGAAGCTGGTCTTTGGTTTTTTTTTCCTGGCATTTTGTGCCTTGAAATAACTTGGGACCTTTGCAGAAGTGGTTCCAAGTGGTATCAAACACTTCAAAGCAACACTGACCATTTTAATGTGTGCAAATGCTGCAGAAACACACAAATGTAAACTTTTTTTGTAATTGAAAAACAAACACTATTGAACACTGAAAGAAGTAAGGATTTCCCTGCCATCTGTTGTTTAAATAAAAAGAGCATGGATAATACACACATTAATGAGTGATTGGTTGGAAAATCATTATGTAGCGCCAAGGTTCAGCAATATTTTAAATCACTTGGTTTACTAAATAAGGCAAAAATTGTCCTGATTATAGAGAACTATTTTGCCTATATTTCATTTAATGTTTTAGTAAAAGATGATGTTTCCATCTTATTCTTTCCTTCAAACTGGACGTCTATCATTTAGCCATTAAATATCAGAGTTCTGCACATGCTGAAATGCATATATAAAGCAGCCTTTTTAAAATGTATGCTTATTTTTCTGAACAATAGCAAGACCATTCTAGAATTTTTGAAATATCAAAATCTGATGTGTAGAACATTGCAAGGTCTGGGGATGCTGTGTTTATAAATATTTTAAGAAATACTTGGCATAATTTATGGCCAGCTACTGTATTTTATAGTGATGATGATGATATAATTTGAAGGTTTTATGTATTGTTAGCTAAAGTGTAATTTTCCTGTTAATGGAATTCGCAAAGAAATATGGAGAAATAATAATAAATGAAGATATATCTGGTGATACTCATCACCCAAGCAGTTGTCTATGATATTATTAAATTGTGATTATTACCAATTATTGTTTCTAGAAGTAAACATTATTTTCATAGGGTGATCAAAAAGTCAGTATAAATTTGAAAACTTAATTAATCACGGAATAATGCAGATAGAGAGGTAAAAATTGACACACATACTTAGAATGACATGGGGTTTTATTAGAACCCCCCCCAAAAAAAGTTCAAAAAATGTCCGAGAAAAAATTTTTTCTTCGAGGAAATGCGTGATTCTGGTTTCGTAACTGCTACCGTGACGGGTGAGAGGTACGCCGATATGTTACAGAATCGCATCGTCCCCAGCCTGGCTGATAAACACCTGCTGGAATGTATGATTTTTATGCAGGATGGCGCTCCACGTCATATTGCTAGATGCATGAAAGATCTCTTGCGCGCGTCGTTTGGTGATGATTGTGTGCTCAGCTGCCACTTTCGTCATGCTTAGCCTCCCAGGTCCCCAGACCTCAGTCCGTGCGATTATTGGCTTTGGGGTTACCTGAAGTCGCAAGTGTATCGTGATCGACCGACATCTCTAGGGATGCTGAAAGACAACATCCGATGCCAATGCCTCACCATAACTCCGGACATGCTTTACAGTGCTGTTCACAACATTATTCCTCGATTACAGCTATTGTTGAGGAATGATAGTGAATATATTGAGCATTTCGTGTAAAGAACATCATCTTTGCTTTGTCTTAATTTGTTATGTTAATTATTGATTTTCTGGTCAGATTATTGCTTTTCTAATAAAACCCCATGCCATTCTAAGTATGTGTGTCAATTTTTACCTTTCTATCTACATTATTCCGTAATTTATTAATTTTTCAAATTTATACTGACTTTTTGATCACCCGGTATTTAAGTCTGTGGTGAGCAGAACATAGGTGCTTCATGAAGCCGCTTCAAGTATTCTGTGAAAAAAATCAAATACACAATTGTTGCAGAAGAAAAATCAGTGAAATGAGCTTTTTAAGGAATTAAAATCAGCAACTGCAAACAAAAATTAAATTTTTTAAATATGCATGTTTTCTTGTAAACTCAATACATGCCTAATTGCCATAAAAATGACATCTTATACTAACCCGAGTGGTACAGGAAAACCAAACAACAAAGCAAGGCCTATGTGAAATTTTTCTGCAGGCCTCAGCAACCAAGGAAATTCTAGAAAGATATCTTTTTACTGGTGTCTTGAAAGGGAAGGCTTTAACTTGGTCATCAGAATGAAGATGTTGGATATAGAGGAATATGAAGATAAAATAAAAGATCTTGATAAGGAAACATTTGGTAAAGGAAAAGGGGGTCTATGAAAAGGTTGAAGGGTCAAGGATTGCTTCTGAGTTTTGAGTTAAAAGTGCAGTTTTCGTGTTCTACAATTGCAGATTCCAAATGATGCCCGAATAGTTCTAGTAAGCCTCCTGGGTGTCCGGATCCACTCTCACCTGTCACCTGTCTATGCTGTATGCAGAAGAGAATTTTTGAATAGCGCAATGGTGCTCACTAAATTAAAGCATCATTTTTCAACTGAATATAAAAACTCTCTTCAAAAAATAAATAATACTTCAAATGGCTTTTAGGAATGCTAGGTAAACAGAGAAAATGTCTTGAAAAAGTGATGAAAGTAAGTGAAAGCTAAGGATGTATTGTATAAAATTGCTGAATCAATAATATAAAAATTAAAATCACTCACAATAACAGAATCTCTCATTTTATTTGCGTGCTATGAAATAGTGACAATTTTGTTTGGGGAGGAAATAAAAAACGAAATTTTAAAGATTCTGATATCTGATGATATGATTCACAGAAGAATTTATGACTTTGCCTGCAGCATTGAAAGGACAGTTGCAAGGAATTTGTTAACATCTCATTGCATTACAGGTAGACAAATCAACCGATAGAAGTGGTAAGGCGAATCTCCTAGGCTTTGCACGATTTATTTATGAAAAGAAAATAAATAAATTTTTATACTTCAAAGAACTTTCAAATCATGTAATCAGTGTGCCAGTGGACCAATGGAGCAGCATCTCAGATGGAATCAGTCAAAGGATTTGTGACGAAAACAATCAATCCAAGTATAATATTTCTTTACTGTTTCTAGCATAAAGAAATAACTTGTCATAAAGGCAATGTCTACGAAAAAGGTTTGTTCATCTAATGGAGGCAGACTTCCATAGACTACGTTTATTTCTTCATATATAAGTGAAGTGGTATTCTCATGGTAGGTTTTAAATTATGTGTTGTGATTAAGAAATGAATTTTCCCCCTAACAGAAAAACACAGAACTTTTGGGAAATATCTATAAAACTATAACTATCGTAATTATTTGGCATATTTGGCTAATATTTTTGCTTGCTTTAATACTATTAATATAAGAATGCAAGAAAACATTCTTCCATCAACTGTCAAATAAAGTACTTTTAAAAAAAAGGCCTTTTACTATGAAAAAGACACATAAGAGAAAGAAACATAAAATATTATATTCTGTGCGGGATACAAAAAAGCAATTATTTCTTTACTAATTGAATATTTAACAACACTAGACAAAATTTTCAAAATATTTTCAGTTGTTGAACCCTGAACAATTTGATTGGATAAGAAATCCATTTTCTTCCTCTTTCTGTTTACCATAAAATGAAGAACTGATGTCACTGTTTTCAAATCATGGATTAAAATTGAACTACCTGGATCAAGGGAAAAAAAAAAAAAAAAACATTAAACACATTTAATATTATTGTTTCCCAGGTCATACCTTTATAAGACAGGATTTTCAGTTGTGGTTAATATACAAACATGCAGATGTATAAATGCATGAAGGCCTGAAATTTTAAAACTGAAGATGTAAGTGTCCTTATCACTTATTTGCACCAAATATTGCTGAAATCTGCAGAAAATGCCAAGCTCGTGTATCACATTAAATTTGAGAATTTTTTTTTCAATATTCTAATTTTAAGTGATTTTTAATTCAGTGTCAGTATTTAATTCTTTTATAAAAGTAACACTTTAAAACAGGTGGTCAATGTATGCTCAAAATGTGTTTGTGACACAATTCTATTTTTTCTTTTCCTCTTCACTAACGGAGTTATTTTTGTGACCAGTGCCCTTTTTTTTTTAATTGCAACCTTGATTTCGGAAAGATAGGTTTACATTGCTTGAAAGCTTATGTTGTAAGTTTGAGTTTAGTGTTCTGGACTTCAAAAAGATTGAGAATCAAGGCCTAAATATATATAGACAGGAAGTGAAGACTGTATTGTTTTCTTGTCTTATATTAGATTTGTTGTGTCCTTTCTTTTTTCAGTGTCATATTAGTTATTGTAATGTTGACTACCAATTATTCCCTTTTCTTTCTTTCTTTTTTTTTTTTTTTTTAAGAGGGAGATATATTACCTGAAATTTATTAAAACTTAGTAATTGATTGTTTAACCCGTATTTATGTTCCCAAACTTTCCACTTACCAAAGTTACAATTTTCCCTTAATTTTTTTTAGCATTGTAAGTTCAGTTGCATGGATACCAGAAATTTTATATAGAGGATAATTTTCGAAGCTAATAATCAAGTGCCAATGCAATGAAAATATAGTAGGCGTTGCTTAATGTGATTTTTTAATGTTATCATTCAGATATTTTTATTGAATTGCCCAAGTCCCACTTTTTTATACATATGAAAACATGGAAAACACACTGCTTATTGTGATTAACAGTTAATATAATCAAAGTATTACTGAATGAATGTTTTGAAATAAAAAAAATAATCTCCAAATAGTTTAAAATGCATTATAAAAATAACAAAGTGAGGGATTAAGCCACTAAACAACTTGATTTCAATTTTAGTCAATTGTTTAAAATTAAGTAACTAAACAATGTTAGTTTGATATAGATTGTAACTCTATTGATTTTGAGGGTATCAGAGAGAGGGTCCCTCTTTTTCAGGAGCAAAAAAATTGTATTGAATTTTTCCCAAACTTTAAATTTTACATTAGCTCTTCCAATGAATTTTACTCTTCCTCTGAAGAATGTCCTTTGAGTATTAAGATTAATAATACAGCATTAATCAAATAATTTCCAAAAATTTTTTTGAACAGGTTATTAACAGAATTAGGCTTTTCATAATGAAAGTGCTGTGAAAGTACATATTTTGTTTTTAGTTATAATAATTTAGTTCGATTACTATTATGAAGGATATTTTTTCCTCATTGTTTAATGTTATCAAAATAGCCATGAACAAATGCACACTTAAGCAATGCCTTTTATAATGTCATTATAATTGATTTGACCTTTTATTAAAGAAGGTGAATGTGCCACCTGTATGTAAGCACACCGGAAGAAAGGAATTATCAAAAGCAGGTATGACAGGAATATATAGTATCCCTATTGGAGATGATGCAAGAAGAAATAGAACTGTGTGTAAGATTAATATCTAGAAAATTGGAATTGAACTGACATGATAACAGAGTATTAAAAAGACTCGGTAACATTATCATCATAGGAGAATAACATGACTTTCATCAAATATATCAAGAATAATCTACATTTTAAGGAATAGGCTGGGATGAAGATGAAATCAAAAATGACTTATCCTTAAAAGTAGTTTCAAACTAAGAAAAGCAGTCAGTTTAACTAGAATAATTTGTAATTGAGAAGCTACAGTTACCCCATCATAGATTTTGATGGTTATTTTGAGAAATAAATACCATACAGATTATAATAAGATAATTCTGAACACAGTCACCAGTCACCTCTCTTAAAGCCATATAAATAACACTGAAGGAGGATGCACCTATGGCAGAGGTGAAGAGAACAAAGTGAAACAACAACAACAACAGCAACAACCCCCCCAAAAAAATGAATTGCAGCTGATTGATTCCTGCTCTTAAAGATGCTGAAGGAAACTATGTCCACATACTTTACGCATATTACATTTACAAATTTCTATCTATTTACATATCTTACCATTCTGTTATTACCCACCATTAATTACCAATGAGTTTTCTAGGAAATCTTTTGTTGAAATATTCATCCTGGATAGATAATTCTTACAAGTATTATTATTAAAATTGCGGTTTTTTTCCCTATATTTTTACTCTACTCTGAATTTGACAAGTTATATTCTTCATGACTTTAAAAGAGAAATGACTTGTAAATTTTATTTTAATAAATGACTTCATATTGTTTTGCATTACTTATGCAAAATAATATGAACATATATATGAATATATATGAATAATATGAATGGAAATTTAGGATTTGGAAAGAAAATTGAATTTGATTTTTTTAAAATTGAATTAAGAATTCTATCATGAGACATAAAAAGTTTTTTGTAAATTGTTTGTTGGTACCAGTGTTTGTCTTTTATCAAGGTTTTTTTTTAATTGTTAATGAAATTTATTTTCCTAATATACTTAATTTAAATTTTTTCTTTAATTATTTAAATTTAGACTAGTTTGCATATTTATTATTGTTCATTCATCACAGAATGCACAATTAATTAGAATTGTGCAAACTGAGTAGACTAAGTGGTAATGATTCGTCACACCTTGCATTCATAATCTACAAATTTTACAAAAGGGAAGCAAGTACTAGTCATAACTGTGCTTTTTCCATTTTATTATTAATATTTTCATATAATAGGTATTGTGAAAATTATATTTTAATAAACAAATTACATATTTTTGTATAAGTTAGCATTGCAACATGCTGTCAAGGAGCCCTTAACCAAATTTAAAATTAATTTTCTATTTTTGTTCTTTTACAGCTCAAAGATCTGCTTTTGAATATAAGAGAAAGATGCACTATAATGAATTTTATGCAGTGAAACTTGCTAGAAAATTGATTGCTAAGGATGGTGATGAAGCTGATGAAGCTGACGAAGACAGTTAATCTTTTTGAAATAAAAAGTCTTGTAAAGATTTTCATCATGTGCAAATTAAAAAAATTAATCGCAAAAATAGCAGTTTGGTGCTGATCTATCATATCTATAAATCTGTGTATGAGTTTTGCGAAAATTCAACCTGGAACCCAGATCCTGATTATAGTTTTATAAAATTTGTATTAATTGTTGTGACCCGTAGTATTAGCAAGGAGATAATTTTTGGACAGAAATGTGTGAGTGGTAAAATTGTTGTTTTGGCATTTTTGAAATGTAAATTTTGTTAAAGTTAGAAAAGGGGGGGGGAAGGAAGTTATTTTGCATTGATCCTGTATAGATTTTTTTACAAATTCTTATTTTGTATTTGCACTCAAATTAAAGAGAGCTGTTGTTCTTGTATATAATTTTCATATATTTGGTGTGTTATAAGGCCAACCCTGTAGTAAATAGTTCCAAAATATGTCAAGGAAAACTTTTGCATGTTTCGAAGTGTTTCTTTTTATTTGTTTTAACAGTGTAGTAAACAACTCTTAAGTAGTGACAGGCACTTGTATTACTTAACCGGGACTTTTTTTAAATTCATAATGCAAATTTTTTACATTAAATAATTTTTTTTTTTTTAGATAATTTTCTTCCAAATTAAGCAGAAAAGTGTCCTATAATGCTGTTGTATGGGCATTCAGATATAGGTTTTTTAAATATGTATAATTTATTTTGCTAAAATTTCTTGTATATATATGTGTATATATATACGAATAAATGAAATATAAAAAATATAAAAAAGCTTTCCATAAAATAATCAAATCGGCTATACACTTTCTCATATATATACGAGGGGTGGAACAAAAGTCATGGCAATTATGTTTTTTCTTGTAGCTATGTGAACGGATCACAGAATGTATATGTGTCGTGTGGAAGTTATGTAGGCATAGTGTGTATGCAGAACAACAGATGGCTCAGTGATAGCTGGCTCTGTAGTAGCGAGGGCTCTACAGAGCCAGTCAGTTCTCTACAGAAATCAGTCAGTTGGTGAGTGCCGTGCGAGATGGAAGTAACCCGTGTTGAGCAGTGCGCTTACATCAAAATAGCCGTTTTCCAAGGGAGAAATGCGAAGGAATGTCACAGTAAATTAATAGAAGCTCTTAGGAATAATGCCCTACCATATCGTACAGTAGCACGGTGGGTAGTAAATTTTCAGCAAGGACGTGTGTAAACCAGTGATGAGCAACGTTTGGGATGACCGGTGAGTGTGCGGAGCGACTTGGCACATGCCGTCATCGAGCACCTCATGGATGAAGACAGACGAGGGACATTACTGGAGTTAGAGAGGGCAAGTGGCATCGAGAAACACACCGTCCACAGGATATTGCGTAATGAGCTAGTGTCAGAATTCTTCCTCAGTCAGATTGATGGTGATCGTAGCATATGACATCAGGGGTGTCATTGTTTGCCACTTTGTTCCTCATGGCAGAACAGTGACCGCACAGTACTACAGAGACTTCTTGGTGCGACAGGTACGATGGGGCGTTCGGGATAAACGTCCAGATCTTGTGGGCAGTGCAATAATTCTGCACGACAAGGCAAGACCACATAAAGCAGAGTGTGTATGGCAGCTACTCCGACGTTGGGGATGGGAAGAATTAGAGCACCCACCGTACTCTCCTGACCTTTTGCCCTGCGACTTTGATCTCATTCCCAAGATTAAAGAACCATTACATGGTAGGCGTTTTGCAACACGAGAGGACATTGCTAATGCTGTGCGCCAACAGATGACCCAAATCACACATAGTACGGCAAATGCTGAGGCTGATGGTATTCAGCGCCTCCCACATCGTTGGCAGCATGTGGTGACAGTAGCGGAGGACTACATTGAGGGTCTTTAGGCTAGGTTTGTCATGTCAACCTTATGTGTATTGTGTTATCATTCTTTTGCACGGTGAAGGCCATATTGCCCATTATACTACCCCAATAAATTCGTGTGTTACAATATTTCAGTGCTATTCTTTGTCCTCACATATAGTTAAGATCTTCTCCTTTCGACTGTATATGTCACATTTTTCAACTGGACTGGTATCTTCAAGAAAAAAAATAGTTACCATGACTTTTGCCCCAACCTACGTATATATATGTATATATATATATATATATATATATATATATATGAGAAAGTGTATAGCCAATTTGATTATTTTATGGGAAGCTTTTTTATATTTTTGATAAATTCTAAAGAAAATTACAGTGAATAAATTATTAAGTTTTTAAATTATCAGTAAAATTTAAAAAAAAAGGGGTTATTTTTATAAAAAGTTATTTTCAATTTATGGATTTTTGCCCACATTAAATTGATCCCAAGTTTTGACTGGAAAAATATCCATATTTACTTCATTGTTAAATTAATATATGCTAATTGGAGATAATAAAATTCTAGTTAAATTTTACATTTTTGATTGGCTGGCTAAAATGTATTGACTTCAATGCTGTATCAATCATATTAAGATCCCTATTATTCTTTTCTATGAATTTTTAAAAATATGTACAAATATATATATCTTGAGAGAAGTTTTTGTATAAACATGCTTTCTTGAGCATATTTAGTGTAAAAATATTTCTGTATGTTAAAGTCATATGCTTGGTAGGAAATAATTTATGAAGCTTATATTTTTAATGCTATTTTTCAAAGCTTGTTGCCAGATTTTCTTGGTAACAGATTCATTTGCAAGATATATTTTTGAATTACTGATTCACGTGTATATATTCAGTCAGTTAGTGTGCCATTTTCATCTTAAAACTGAGTATTCATAAGTTGTACGATGTTCATTGTCTTATATAGACTGAATATTGAGTACATTTCAAAAATTTTTTTAAAGCATAAGGTATTTATCTTCTGTTTGATTATTATTTAGTTGGCAGTAGTTTTTGAGAAAAAATTTCTGCTAGCTAACTATATTTATCTACATTATTTTTCTCCTTGTGTCCCTTATTTTTTTAATGCAGGTAAGGAGATGAGAAATTTTTGATGCCAATAGAAGGCAAAATGCAATAAATGCAATATATTAGTTTTTATTTTTTCTTTATACATATGTATAAATATTATATTGAGTTTAATCAATAAATTTTTATGAAAAAGCATTAATTTCTCTTTGAAGTTTTATTTTGTAAATTATTGTATGTTTTGATATGAAAATGTTCAGAGTTTGCAGATTTAAAAATGATAATTTTCAATACCATTTGATAGTGCTGGATTGATAATACTGGGAAAATATATGTAGTGCTTTTTTGTTTTTGGATACTGTTGAAATACTGCAAAAAAGTTTTTATATTGAATTTTTTGAAGATACAAAGTGGCTATATATTTTTGAAAAATTCAGAGGAGTGTATAGAAATTAAAATCTGTGAAAAGATTTTATATGACTGTTGAAAATTCTAAATGGGCTGGCTTGTAACATTAATACTCTGCTCCTATCTGTGGTATCACAGTCACAATGACAACACAGCAACTGAGTGCATTTTGCAGTCTGATTAGGTGGAACAGTATGCAAGTGTTCCTGCTGATTCGGGCAATGAAATGCCACTAACTTGGCCATGAGTTTCCTTGCATAAAGCCCTCTTTTATGCAACTTCTCAATTAGAATATATTTGGATAATCGAATTCCTGTAGCTGCAGTGAACAGCTACAACCTTGTAGTCTGGGTTGACAACAGTTGTCTAATTAGTATTATTCATTAGTATTTATTAGTAATTAGTATTCATTAGTAATTAATTCATTAGTTCGGCATGTTATTGTGTCTTAACAGTTGTCTAGTTAAGCAAATGTTACTAAATAATTGCCCTGGGAATCTATTGTGGGATGTTTTTGACGTTTAGCTGGTTATCTGCATACATTACCAGTGCCTTTTTCATATTTTTAACATGACGCTTTTGGTTACATTTAGGATTTTCCAGACGTTTGTCGATGTCTGTCTTGCTTCCATTATTCCAGCTGTGTACCAATTTTCACAATCTGCTAAATGCCTTCTCAACAATATGTTCCACCATACACACATGAAAATTTTATCCAACTACATATCCATATTTCTGCACAGTCCTTGAAATTAGAATTTTGAAGTGTCACATTCCCCTTGTACTGAAAAAACAGACACAAAAGTTTTGAATATTTCTGTGTAGTGAATATGAATCTCATTGGATTATGTGATAATGTTCATGTTGAACTATTAGCCATTTCATTGGACTTCACTTAACTTTCTGAATCCGGCTGGTACAGCAGTTGTACCAGGAAAATGACCTTCTTGAACGCCGGCTGTGGTACAACTGTCGTACCACCCATTCCCTCCCTATTTTAGAGAATCGCCTATCTGTAGATCTCAGGGTGGTCCATTGTCGCTGCTCAGAATAGCCGCTGGCTACGCATTATTTCCCTCTTCTTATCAGTTTGGCTACATTTTGGCAAAAACCGCAGGTTTCGTCTCGCGCCAATATACTTGAAAAATAAATAGAGGCCATCTTTCTCAATCTAATTTTTTTAGTACTGACTTTTGCTATGATTAAAACGTCAGCGATTTTGCACGCTCTTTAAGCTTACCATATTTAATGTTCTTTAATCATAACAAATAAGAATAGATTAATATTTTAGATTTAATGCCCTTCTAGAAAATAGGTAAAACCGCTTTTATCGTTTACTTCGTTTTTTTTCATACTTATGAATAATAAGATTTTATTTTGGACATTGTTTTTGTGGAGTGCATAAAACCCTTAAGAACTGTTAACTCTTTCAAAGTGCTTCTATTATGCAGGCAATTTTGTCTGATTTATCAGGAGATAAATAAGAGACAATTGTATGCATAATAGTTTTTGTGATTTTCATTCATTCAGTGATTGCTTTCAATGAATTTCATTGATTGTAAATTAAATAAAATCAATTTATCTTTACCCTCTTTTAGGATGAGATCTGCCCAAAAAAGTATTTAAATATCAGTAAAGCTCACGTTACTTCTAAATTGAATCAAAACATCAGTTAACATGTTATAAAATTTTCGGCCAGTTTTATTTGCTGAAATTCTTATACTCCTCAAGAGATAGAGG